GTTTGAGGCAAACAGGAAACAAGTTTTCTAAGAAAAAAGATGCCATGAACAACTGCATCAAATAAGAAAAGCTCACCAGATCTTTCTGTTCTTCAAATTCCCTCAAGGTCCTATGGTTGAACTCTGCCTGGCAATGAAATGGGTCACCAAGTTTAAACTTAAGTATGTGTACTTTTCTGCTGTTTATTGGAAGTGACAACAGTACAGCTACACATTACAACTATACATTACAGACAATTAAATTTACTCCTGCACAAAACAAGAGTTTCATTTCTAACTGTAGGTTGAGGTTGCCCAAGGCTGCAACCAACTATAAACAGTCAACTGGCACCATCTTCTTCTTTAGTTCCAAGACACAGAGACAGGAAGAAAGTCCTAAGAATATTCTGCCATGAACAGAGCATGTGTAGAGGCTGTAACTAGTTATAGAGTTGTAAATTTATGTGATATAGTCTGTATTCATAAATTGTGCATATAGCCAGATGAAACAAATGTAAGTATAATGTAAGAGATTCTTACTATAAGCTGGATAATTAAACAATGTAAAATCACAAATGAAGTCAGATAACTAAGTACACACTGCAGTACAATTGCCAAAGGTGAGTGCATACTCATGAAGCCACACCACCTGGTAAATGGTTACTAAGAAAAGTGTCAAACTACTTCCAGCTTAGAGAACACAGGTTACACAGGCATCCATTGCTGGTAAGAAAACAAAATCCTCTCAGCATTTTAAAAATTCTGGACCATAGCTTCATTTTTCCCTCTAATTAAATGGACTTAATCAGAGGTAATAGCTATGATAGATCAAAACCAAACAGACGAATGCAAGATTTGCTCTTCATCATAAGTGCAAAATTTCTATCACTCATGATAGAGCAATTAAATTTATGTCATCTTTCCACAGTGATGTTACTGCTGGAATCAAGTTATAAATTCCAGGCTCACTTTTCTAACTTGCTCCACACACTCAAGATTATACTGTCATTCTTACTACCACTCCTACAAATATAAGGACCTTTCTCATATTCTGAAACTTCCTTTTAGGGAACTTTCTTCTTTCTTAACAGCAGCACTGTCTATTAGGGTTTAATTCTCAGAACAAAACTCATTTCATGATGTACACCTTGCCAAAAGCAGCAACATTGCTTGTTCAGAAGCACAGAAAAACCTTGAACCAGTACTGTGATGTCTGAGGCTATCCAGGTCTCCAATTAACTCCTCCAAATAGGAATGAAAAAACACTTTTCTCTCAATCTAATCCTTATACATTTTCACATTCATCCAAAGACTGTCCACTTTTTTTTTGCAATTGTTAGAGACTTACAAATAAGCTTGATGAGAAAACTAAGCTCAGTTCCAGGGTGTACATACAAGGTTGTTTGTGCTCTGAGAAGGAAATCAGAAAAGAAAGTGGTTGAAAGGGAGCTGATGAATGTGCCAAGCAATTTACAATTGTTTCATTGTTTCATCTTTAGACCTCATGGTAGTTTTTTCAGCACTATTACTTTCAAGTGTCTTCTCTTTGGAAGGCCCTAGAGATAAAAATTACTCCTCCATTAAAAAAAAAAAGAAAAAAGCCACATAAAAGCATCGTCCCCAAAGGCAAGGACTGAAATGACAAATTAAAGGAGTACATGTTCAATTCTGCCACCTCTTACGTCTCAGAACTGGGATCATATTACTAGCATCCACCAACTCTGTTGTGCCACAAACACAAATTCTTTTCAGAGAAAAACAAAGGGCTAAACTGAGGTGGAAGGGGAAGTACCACCATAGATCCTTAAACACTGATCAATGTGCAGGTCCTGCCTGCATGCCATACAAGCTGCAGTGAATCTATAGGGTAAATTAAGCAATTGATGTAGCTCTGATGGTAGAAGATTTATTTCTCATTTACTTTGCTTTGGGGTTTTTTGTAAAAGATGGGAAAACTAATCACAATGGCAAACTCAGAAATGGTATACTTATTGAAGTAAACAAAGCCAAAAGGTATACCTTTTTTTCAATGTCCAGAAATATGCAGAAACTAGTAAAAAAACTAGGAGAAAAAAAAGCCCAACACATATCCTGTTATTCTAACAAGTAAAAGATAGTAATTCCAAATTTCTAGATTCCTACTTACTCCATAGAATTTGAATATATAGTATCAGCTCCGTTTCAAATGTAATCAGACTGCAGTCTGATTTTCATAGAATCATAGAATATCCTGAGCTGGAAGTGACCCACAAGGATTATCAAAGTCCAGCTCCAACTCGTGGCCCTTCAGAGCCCCAAGAGTGAAACCATGTGCCTGAGAACATTGTCCAAACGCTTCTTGAGCTCTCTCAGGCTTGGTGCTGTGACCACATCCCTGGAGGGCCTGTTCCAGTGCCCAACCACCTCCTGGCTGCACAACCATTTACTAATATCCAACATAAACCTGCCTTGACGCAGCTTCATGGTGCTCCCTCAGGTTCTGTCACTGATCACCACAGAGAAGAGATGAGTGTCTGCCCCTCCTCTTCCCCTCTCAAGGAAAGAGTCCCCTCTGGATTGCTACGAGGTGTCTCCTCAGCCTCTTCTTCACCAGGCTGAGCACACCAAGCAACCTCAGCTGCAGCTCACATCACTCCACCTCTAGACCCTTCACCATCTTTGCTGCCGTCCTGTGGACACTCTCTAATAACTCAGTATCCATTTTATATTCTGGCACCCAGACCTGCCCCCAGCACTGGAGGTGAGGTTGCCCCAGCTCAGAGGGGGACAATCCCGTCCCTTGCCCGGCTAGCGTGCCTGATGTCCCCAGGACACAGGTGGCCATCCTGGCTGCCAGGGCACTGCTGACTCACTTTCAACTTATCACCAACCCCCACATCACTTCTCACAGCGCTGCTATGCAGCATTTCATTCCCCGTCTGTCCATATATCCGGGCTGCCCCGTCCCAGGTGCTGAATCTGGCATTCGTCGTGATTAAAATTCATTTGGTTAGCAACTGCCCATCTCTCTTAATTTGTCGCAGTCTCTCTTGTGTTACATTACCCTGTTAAAGCATCAAGATGTTAGGGGAAATTATTTAAAAGGAAATAAAAATAAATTAGGATAATAGAATCCTAATATTAACTGGGTTTTGCCAAAAGTATTACACTAGCAGGTTCAACAAACCAGCACAATTATCAGTTACTTTTTGTCTTGCATTAGCAGACAAAATCCTGTAAAACTTCTTCAAATAATCTATGAAGAAGGAACAAAAGAAGCAAAATATTGATTTTTCACAAGGAATTTCTACATAGTATTTATACTGAAAAATAGAGCTCCCCCAAGAAATTCTTTATGGTTAAGAATAAATTCACAGATTAAATAAGAAGGAAAACCAAGAAAAGAGCAAAGCCTTCCACAGGACAAATTGCAATTAGTTAACTGAATCTAATAAAATCTGTGGAGTGGATTTACAGAAGAAAATTGGATAACTATCGAGAGACAACACTGGGCAAGAATAATTTGTTTATCCTAACGATTTTCAAGCATAAATGGTAACTACAGATCATGTGTGAAAACACACAGTAACAAATACCTTATATAGTAATGTGCCTTACTGGATCTTCTTAATGATGACTAATAGCAATAACTCTTTAAGAACACACTCCTACTTCTCACATTCCTCTGTGAAGATATTCAGCACCAATTGTGTGACATTTCTGAAGCCCTTCAATCTTTCTATACATTTTGACATTATTTATTTATTTATATGTCTCCTCCTATGGCTATAGAAAATTATCAGTTGTTTTAAAAAGTCTGGATTGGGTAGCCTAAGGAATTACTGCTACTAACAGTGGGAAGCAATGTGAGAGTGTGTGCCTATGTATATAGTTACCAAATAGATTACTAGAGGAAAGAAATATTAAATAAACACAACAATTTCATGGTTCAGTCTTCGTTTGCAAATCAAAAATCTAAATTAGCAACTGTCAGGATTGTTCATTTGTGCTCCTTCTACTGGTCAATTAAACCTATAGCCATAAAAATAATAATACTCTGTACAGAATCTCCAGATTGTCATGTTGCAATCAACAGTCCAAAAATCTGAAACCAAATTTACTATTTAAAAAACCCCTTATACAGAGCTGATATGCTACACATCAGTTCTCAAATGTCACCTAAACTCATCAAAATGTCATAAGGGAAGCAAAGGAATCTTGCAAATCAAAAATAAGTTTCCTATTATACCAGTTTGTTTTGTGTGTCTAGTTCATAGTAATTTCACTTCCCTCAGATTCTGAGATGCAATTAAACATTTGAAAAAGTTAATCATTGTAATAAAACACTGTTAATTGGATTTTTAATTGAAAGCTCCTTTTTCCTCTTTCTCCTACAAAACATCAGCAGCAACCAAAGCAGCCTACACCACATGACAACTTGGGCTGGAAGGCCGGGTCTGGCAGCCCACCTGATCCATCCCCCTGTTCACACCGGGCCTAACACAAGCGTAATTCCTCACCTGAGTATAAGCAAACAGCAAATCTGTAACAAACACAGTCAAAAACAGTTTAACAAAAATCATGGACTCTGATCACAATTCTTGCTAGTCACAAGCAGTGTATTTCCTGGGAAAAGCAGATGTCACTAGCAGCTGGAACCACCTGAAAGAACTAAAGAACACCTAACTTGCGCATTTTGATGGATTTATTCCTCTGGGACTCTGCATTTCATTTGAAGCTGACAAAATGCAGTTTATAAATATTTATACAGCATATAGCAGATTTCTTTTTATTTCTCAACACATAAGTAACATCCATATAGCCACAGGTTTTATGATTACCTCTCCTGAAGAGATAATTTAAATACTAATTTTAAATGTCATCTTGTGAATAAGAACTGTTTAAATGTTATTTAAGTAGTGTGATTTGTCGCAAACACTAATGTATTAGTATAATTAATTTTAGTTACCAAATGAGAAAATAATATCCCATTTCATTTACCTTGCACAGTATGGTTTTTATAATCATAGGCTTTATTTTTTTAATATACACAAGTGAAATTTCTATTGTCATATACAGATTAGAAATTTAAACACTTAAACACTTCCCACAATGACTGACTTCAGAATTGATTCTGAATATTATCTCAAAAAAAAAAAAAAAAAGCAAAGAACCAGAGTGACAAAGAGCACTACTGCCCCCTAATGAGCTACACCATAAAAGCTCCACAGTAACAGCATTTTGTGCCTTTCCTGAAAAAAATCAAGTCATTATATCCATGGATTATGAAAAAAAGCGCGAAAAAACAGTACAATCATTAAGAATACATACTTCAAATTCCACCACATTTCTGCACAAAAGGCACATACATAATTTTGTAGAGGAAAAGAAAAGGTATCTAGTAACTATGATTTTCAGATACAATACTTAATGCACCAGGAAATCACGAAGATCCAAGATACACCAAAGAATAACCCACGCTAAGCAAATATTAGCAATCTTACGTACTAGGATGTAATACTATATTGATCTTCACACCAACTCAGATTTTTAAATTTTAATGTCTGTACTGTGAGAGCATCAGTTTCCTTGTTGCACTGTTTTATCTAAATGCCCATCACGAGTTTATTCTAGGCTTGTCATTATCACAAAGTAATTCTGATCCAGGTATCTAAACATATCCACAAAAAGAAGAAAGAGAGGGAACAAAAGAAAAAGTCCACTATCTGAATCCTGTTTGTACAAGAAACAGAACTTTCTGTCTTACATGAAAATGACATTTTTCCCCTCTATATTTTTTAATAGTTTTGCCATAAGAACTGAATGTGTATTCAATTCTCACCAATGTAGCTTGGGCATAAAATTTTGTCCAGTTCCGGTATCTGCAGCAATGAAATTCTGAAAAATATACAGCTGCTGCAAGTCTTAGTGAGACGCACAAATATAAGCTGTGTCTTCTCAATTATTTCACCGTAAATCAGAATTCCACTCACATTAGTAAAATTACTGTGAATTAATTGCAATGCTAAAGCAGCACTGAGTTCTGATTTCTCCCCTCAAACTCCTTATACTGAATTTTTCATAGGTAAACATTCTGACAGACACCACAAAACTAAAGACTACAATTTCCATTAGCAAGATAAGGTTAAGAGCAAATCATGTGTCTAATTCAAAACACGCTGGCTAACAAAAGAAACAGATTTTATGAATAAGAACTTATGTTCTTTAGTGAGTTTGGGTTCTGATATGCCAACAAGTCATTAAAATCCTTGTTGCCTTAAGACTCTTCTTTAAAACCTCCAAATACTGGGTTTCTGTGGCCTCACATAGTGTCATAATTCATTAGCACTGAAAGGTTGCAAGTGATGAGCAATGTCTTACATAACTATACACATGGTAGAAGGCTGCAACCTACTATGTATTAAAAGCATAAGAACTACAATCATATGCTATGTGATAAAAATAAACTATCTACAAAAACATTTTAGAGACCTAAAATAACTATATTCCCTATTTCTCCTGCTACAGCCCAAAGAGCTGGTAACACAGCTCTCAGTCTACTGAATATTTATGCTATTGTATCAGTATTTCACAATTTCAAGTGTTTACTATAACCTTTATGAAATATAAAACAAAAATAATGACAAAAATAACAACAATTAAGAGTTGCAATGGGTGCCCTTAACAGAACTTTACCGGAAGGCCATGACCACAACTCATTCCAACTCTGCTGACTTATATTTCTTACCTTTGAATCTTCATTGCTCACTCCCAGCTCTAGGACAGCTTGGGGAGACTTCAGCTTTGCTTGCATGGACTCTGCCATTTGAAGATTAAGTTGCCATCCAATTGTTTCCAGCTATAAAACACAAGTTTTAATGATAATCAGATGGTACAAAAGCACCAAAGTCAACTTTCAAAACTGCCAGTGGTCTGTGTAAGTGAACACAGTGTCACACTCTACAAATGTTAAGCATCTGCATATACTGCATTCCCCTCAAATTATCCTGGACTCAAGACAGATTTGCTTTTCTCTTGTCAAAATCACCATTCAAACTGCCTATGACCACTCAAATAAAGCAACTTCCTATGTCTCAGATCTGATGGACCCAATCCATAGAACACAACTAGGGATCCTCTTCTTGTGGAAGTTTATCTGCAAAGCTGCAGATTCAATTTCATTTAATATTTTACTTTTAGGAAAAATAAACCAATAAATAGTAAACCATTTAAAAAATGGTGATTTGTAATCCACAGATTTACTCATGTGTGTCGTATCATATGCAGATCTTAATGTCAAAAATTCTCCTTCTTGAATCATTGATGCTGAAAGGATAAAACCCAGGTAGGCATGTGAGCAACAGAATTTCTAATAGAAAATTCAAAAAAATACATTTTCAAATTCTTTTTTTATCATTAATCTGAAGTTATATTCAAACATTATTAAGGTACAGCTCATACACAAATGAAGTACACAACAACAGAACTGCAAGGCTTTCACAAAATGATCTTCCTGGCCTTAGCGAATAAAAACAAGTGGAAATACAAAGTCTTACATCTGCCAAGATAATCTACACACAAATTCTTTTTAATATAGCATCTTCCCTCTTCAAGTAAATATTGTGGTTGACCTGGTAAAAGTGAAAGTCTGCCACATCTTGGTTACTCTCTTACCAATCTAAGAGCTAAATTCAGCAAAAATCATTAACAGAATAAAGCCACACCAAAGGCCTTGTATTGTGAGCAGCAATACAAGTCCTGCATCCTACAGTGACAGTAATCTCTAGATGAAAGACAGGAAAGGGTGGCAAAAGCTTCTTGCATGGACACTGTTCAAAGACAGAAATTCCAAAATTTCTTGCGATTTACACTTACATATTAATGTGTTATACTGCATTTACCTGTATACTGCATCCAATAGCAGAACTATGTAACAAACACTGGCCACCACATAACTAAGCATGCCAGAAAGGAAACTATGTATCATGATATATCTTAACCACCAAGGCCAGTACAAGACGGTTAGGGAGCTTAGACAAGACCATATTTAAGGAAAATACACCATCTCAGGCTTTGTGCACAGCTGTTAGGAACAGGACAGCAGGAAGAACTTCAGCAGGTCAGCCTGCAGTCTGTCAGCTGCTCTGCAATCAATGCACCATTCAAACTTAAATTTGTCATAAAAATAAGAAAGTTTACATTTAATCAAATCCATGAAGGCATGCAGCCCACACAAGAGACAACACAGTGAAGATGTTCCAGGTCCGATCTACCTCATTTTGAGCACGGCTTCAATAACAGTAGGCCCACAGCCTATGAACCAGAAGATACTTTAAAGAAAAGTTACATAACTTACAAAAGCAGATGAATTTTTAATCATAATTCTGCTTTTATTTTCTCTAACTTGATTATATCTTGATTTGTGCAAATAACCCATCCCACCCAAAAGCACAGAACAGTCTCGAGTGGATGCTGTCTACCTGCTCAAGTCAATCACACCACCTCTGCTAAGTCCCTGTGCTAGTCAGTATTTTCCAGGAAATTATACCAGAGTGATAAAACTAGAAAACATTTTTCTCTCCACAAACTTCAATGAAATTAAGAAATTAATTCCGATTCTTCCAGGAGCATAAAGATTGTACTTTTAAAGAAAGAAAACAAAACAGAAAAACTTCAGGTTTTTTATCAAGAAAAAAAATATATTTCACTTAAGAAAATTGATAATGGTCAAGAAAAGGACTCAGATCCTAAGTTATGGGTTACAGTGATGGAAGCAGCCCAAAGCAGGCAACTGGGAACAGTACCACCTATTGATAAAACACCTAACCACTAAGGATAAACATAGAGACATCGAGCTCTGGAATGTGACAGCTCCTCATATTGCAGTCACTATGGTTCAAGCCCTCTGCTCCTCAATTTAGAAAGGACTTTCTATCAGCTATTTAAACAGTTTATTACTGTAGTATGAAAACCAAGCCTTAGACAGGGTAGCAGCTTACCCAGGATCATAAAACAATGCCACTAGAGACAAAAACACTATCCAAGGAAGCCTGACCTTTTAGACTTATCTGAAGCTGTTTAATACTGTATTCTGTGTAGCATGAAGAACAAACCACCAAAAGTAAAAAAATTCAAGTCTGTATTTTTATTTTTCTTTTAATACACATCTATTCCAGAATACTGTAGAGGGCTCAGAACAAATACAATACATGTGGCAGCACACTAGCCTGAGTTTATAGCTGAAGAGCAGCTGTAGCTCTTGTTTTATATGGCTTTACCTTAAAAATTACTGGTTTTCCTGTACAATTCATGACTGCTTTCTGTTTTTAATATAGTATATGAGAATAAGTTTTAATTCATAAATAATATGCTGCTCAAGGAATCAAAATGGTCCATCTTCTTGAAAGAAAAATGCAGCATGAATCTGGCAATGGTTGTGTTTGCTTACTTAGAAGACATTCAACATCCTGCAATGTCAATTAACCTTTTGAGAGCAGTGACACATTTCTGGACGGCATTTGTGTCCAAGCAAAGCATTTGTTAGTCACAAACGGGTACGTACTTTAGGGCAATTTTTTTCAAATATGAAAGGACTATAAAATTATTCTTACTTCTGGTATAAAACTTGCTACAGAAAAAAGAATGATGGAAGAAAACGGTGCCAGAATCTGTGATATACTAACTGAAAAGCACTTACTGAGGCAGAGGAGAAGTATTTCTCCATGCCTAGCATGAAAACAAAGACGTGTATTTAGCTACTGTGGACCTTTAGCTTCTTTTCACAATTCTTTATCAGCAAGTTAGAAATGTGAAAGCTACCTCGTTACTGCAACACTAAACACAGTTGAAAATATACTGTTTATTGCTGTAAATTCTCACTGATATCTCTGGCACTTATTTAACTTCAAGGTTATGTTAGAAAAAGCAAACAAGCACAAACTGGGAAAGGGAAGGGAAATAAACTTAGGTACTAAGCAAAACCAATAGCAAAAAACACGTGAAAATGCTTCAGATCTGTTCCAGGAATCCTCTGGCAAATAAGTCAGGGCAACAAAGATACGAGGAAGCTTTCAACAACCGCTGTAAATCCGCAGTTCTCGTGTCCATTTTGTTACATTCAGGCTCCTGAGGAGATTACCATGGCTCTCAGGACTAACAGACATGGAAGAACTTCTGCAGCTCCCCCTTCAAGCAGTCACTCAGTACTGGCTGTGGAAGAGGTAAGGTGTCACTGCTGCAGCAGCTCTGCACTCCCTCACCCACAGTGCTCCTCAGTGGCCACCCTCAGCTGGCCCAGGGCAGATCCACACTGGAAAGCAGCTGGTTCCCCTACTATGAGACCATCTGACCCTCCAACTGAAGATGAACAGCACCTTTACACGTACATAAAAATACCATCTCTGGTCTGTCTGTGATGGCCACAGTCATTTTTTTCCAGTGTAAAACACTGGATTTTCCAACTCAAGCCCTGTTGAAAACAGGGAAACAGACTATTTTCCATGCTAAATAGTAGAGCGTAGTATCTTACACAGTAAGAGAAGATCATCACCAATCTAACATAACTATGGGAAAACATTTGGGTGAAAATCATTCTTTTGAAAAAGCTCAGGGCATTAAATGTCAAAGCAGCTTTTATAGCTGATATAAAACTCAAACACAATCTCCAAATCAAAGTTCTCACAGTCAAAATTAATATCCACAGAATCCACCATTTCTCTTACAGTCTATTGTAGTTTTACACACTCTCTTGCCCTTTCCTGGCATATCTTCACAATTCCTTACTTCCACTTTTTGCTGCCTGTAAACATTACTATAAATTAAACCTAAATTGAGAAGAAATTCAAGAAGTCTGACAAATAGGACAAGTTTCTCTATTAGTTGTCAAAAAATACTTCTCTCAACCACACAGATACATTTATTTTACACTTTTCAATGAGAAATAAAATAAATGTACTTTGGCAAAGAAATTCAGGTTAATCATCTTAACAAGAACCAGGCTGTCAGACTCAAAATGAAGGACTACAACTCTGAGAAGGAAAGCAGAACAAATGCCAATAATAGGTATGCTGCAGGGCTCCAACCCAAAAGAACAACGACAGAGCCCAAATGAACAAGAAACTAACACTAAAAAACAGTTGGCAAGGACCTAATTTGAAGAAACAAAGTAAGGGGAAGTGTGTGAAAAAGGGACAATAAAGTGGAATAGATTTTCAGAAAATATGTATTCACCTAAAATTTCTTACCTAACTCCTCCAACTTCAGCCAAACTTCTGGAGCAGGGTCCAGTACTTTTAAAGGATGACAGAAAAAAGGGGCTTACTCAGTCAGTACCAGAGAAGACAAAGAGGATAGTTGGTCTTGGCTGATAAACTGAGATCACACCTCCTGTCTGTCTCCACACCCATAAAGGCTGGAAGTTTTTTTTAATTTTAAAGCAGAAAACTGGAATTCTCATGTAAATTATCTGATTCTAGAAGGATAATAAATCATTACAGAAACTATAGAAGACCAGTATTAAGTAGCTCTCAGAACTCACTTCTTAGAGCTTACTTCTTACCACAGTGCAAGCAGGATGGCAAAATACCATGCTAACTAACCACTGTTTCTCATCCATGAGTTGGCATTTGTCCCCTAGAAAACATATTTAGCATAGCTTCACAGAAAGTAAGAGCAACAAGTTGCTCAACACAGCAATGAACCTGCAAGAACTACACTACAGAAATACTGGTCAGACATATAAAATCAACTGCATGGAGATTTATATAACCACTAGGCATTTAAACAGTTATGAAACAGCCAATTACTTTACAGATCAAATTTAACCTGTTATGAAGATCTAATTATTTTGTTCGGGTTCTT